ATATACTGACAAATGAAACATGGCTATAAAAGTGTTTTTATCATTACAGCAAAGGTTATGGTAGTACAGATCCTGGAGTTCATGTCTGGGGGGTGCTCTGCCATGTGTGTGCAGAAGAAAGGAGAGAACAGAACAGTGTCTTCAGATATGGCACAAGACCACTGTGACCACTATTCCAGTCAGATTCAACCAGTATTAGGCAGTTAGCTAATAGCACCACATGTTGTTGAAGGCAAAGGCTTAATGCCAAGGAGTCCCGCCCCACGCCATTTGCCTCCGAAGGGCATGGGATGTGTTTCGTTACAGAATAAGTTTATCCTCAAAGGGGGCCGGTAGTTTTTCCTTTCCTTTATTATTTATCCTTACCTATTCGATTATCCGAGTGCCTAGGTTTGACTTGGAAGTTTCAAGCTATTACTTATATACAGGACACGTTCTCCTTTTATCCCTCAGTCATTTGTACAGTGTACACTTCTGAGGGTAAGTCTGTTTATTTATATACCTGTTTATTTAGTACTTACACTTATTAATTTTACAGGTAAATATCTACACCAATACGAGTTGTTTGTACAGTGTACACTTCTGAGGATCATACTTATTAGTTCTACACATGCATTGGCATGACTGAGCAGTGAGGAGCAGGGAGATCTTGGGGAGAATTGGAAGGGTATAAGAAGAGATCATCCAGATGCAACTGGCAAATTTCCTTTGCTTACTTGGATGTCAATTGTACTGCATAGTTGCTGGATGTGTTTGTGCCTTTCTGCAATCAAAATGACTCTGTGGAACAGCCCGAGCATCCAATCAGAAGTCAATGCATCTGAGCCTCACATGTACACATGACACTAGGATATATGCTAATACCACTGCATGTATCTGTCTTGAGCGTTGCCATATAATAATTAATTTGTATGATCTGTTATCCCCAACTTAGTACCGCTCCGGCTCCTGACTTCAAGGTCCCAAGAGAAAAACTCAGAACTTGAGCAGTTGTAGTACTAGGTACATTTGTAGTAGGTTGGAGAGGCCGGGCTATGTACAAGAGATGTACTAAGGCCTCCATCTTTCCCTTATTATTACTACTGACAAATATCTGAGGTTTAATGCCAAATCGAGTCTGTTCCCGTGGCTTGCCACGGGTCTCTTAAGCTTGTTACTGGTGAAATTCGGATTGAAAAACATAATCAATTACAGTATATTTTTCAGCCGAAATTATCAAAGATTTACACGCGAAATCTCTATCGAAAAAGGTAAGCAATTACAACAATAATTTCGGCAATAATTTCGCCCGATATTTTTTGACGCTGGCGTAGTGAGTGTTGTGTTCCAAGTGAGTCGCTTGCTTTGGTTGTTGTGTGACTGAACTCGACATCTTTGTTGCTCAGGTAGAGACGGTACTCTACCGAGTACCCCCTTCAGATCTGACAAAGGTCTCACCGGTTTTTCGAGATATGTTGGAGACGCCCTCCGGCAGCGAAGCATCGGAGGGCAGGAGCGATAATAGGCCTATTTTCCTAGAGTCCATCACCCGGATTGATTGGGAGCGGCTCTTGAAAGTGATATTTCACAAGTGAGCCAACACCTTGCCATCTTCCATGTCTAAAACATTTTCTACTAAGGTCATACCTTGATCCTCCTCTTCAGTTCAACCTGGACGAGTGGATCTCTGTGCTCAAACTGAGCACCCTGTGGAAAATGGATGTTGTTCGAGCTACCGCCATCAAGAGTATTGAAGAATTCGACGACCCAGCGAGGAGAATTCACGTGGCTCGTGAATATGGGATACTACCATCTTATTATCTGCCGGCTCTTACTCAGTTGGTGATGCGTCCAAACCCACTCTCAGTCCAAGATTTGGGGTACCTGGGTCCCGAATGTGGTCTCAACATTGCCTCCATTCGAGAAAGGATGAATCCTACCCGAGGCCAGAGCTTTGAGAGAGATATTTTTGTTGAGAGAAAGTCTGCATATGGTCAATTTGAGGGGGAGGAGTATCGCAAATGTGTGCACAAGGAAATATTTCCTGTGTTCAAAGATCATAAAGAGTTTCTTGGGTGGATTACTATTATTGAAGTTCGTACAAATAAATTTTGAGATCTTGGTCGTTTTCTTGGTCATTATATCCACGTCAACCGTACCCTTCCTGAATCGGCTCACCCAGAATGCCAGTGACCGTGCAATATTGTAGACAGCAAGCCCACAAATTAATTTGGCCATCATTGCTTTGGATAGGGAGAGGGGCCACTGGTTACGTCCAATCGACATACTACTACTTGTACTGAAACGTGTCGTTTGTGCGGGATGTACGTTACACCTGCAATATGCTGGTACTTATACTCTTGTCCTGTTGATGTCCTGCTACTGGGAGCCAGCGGCACCAAGGAAATAGGACCTGGATTGATTTATGTTAGTTGGGATGTACCTTGGATAGTTCGCCCCCAGGTCTCTTCATTTTCGATTTTTTCCAAATTGTCTTGGGTTTTCCTTTGGATTTCTTTCGCATTGATTAAGCACCACTGTTCGACCTTCTCAAATTCTTTTACTACCTACAGTGCCCTGTGAGCGCATCCGAGCTCACCACAAGTGACTGGCAGCTGTGACGATATCAAGGCGTTCGAGACTAAGTAAAACAAATGAATTCATAGCTGTAATGAGTCTTGTTGCTTTTTGTGGTCCATTTCATCTCTTCCACTCTTAAGTTCTGATACAACTTGGTCCATTCCTGTTGATTAATCGGCTTGTTAATCAATCTAGAAGGGTTATCGAGTTGTTAATGTCACAGTTGGTGGAGCCGTCATGTAAGCACGCTACACGCGCACGTGAAGTTACGACACGTCTTCTACTCACAGTAACTTAGTAGGCTCTATATTATTATAAGTAACGTACTACTACATAGATTATCTTCTCTTTCTCGCTCTCAAATATACGAATCCTCGAGCCCGTTTTCTCCTCGAGTCTCCAACTCTAGTAAGTCTCTGCCTCAACTCTTATTTAGTGTTACTCGTTGGTGTTGCTCGCCGTAGGCGAGCTTCCACGTCACTAGTATAAGGCATTGGGCTTCCACCTACTTAGAAGGAATCTTACTGGTGCTGAATATGATGCGAGTTTTTTCCAGGTATTTTTCTTCTTCTGAAAAGACAAGCTCCGTGAGTTCGAGATCGGCCTGAGGCAGTCCCCTCTAACCTAGAGGTTGACGGCTTAAGCGAGGAACTGTAACCACCTTCGTCCTTCACAAATCCTCTCTCCATCCGGCGGTGGTGGTATAACTGACGCGGGGATTGAGATCATCTGATGTTGCTGAGTCGGTAAGCATTGAACTTTGATTCCGCGGATCGGCCGGCCTCGTTCGAAGGAATTAATTAGGGGCTGTTTCGCAGTGTCATTTTCAGTACTAACCATGTCGCCCTGGGGAAAGATCCTTCCTAACCAGCGAGCACAGAGTCGGTAAGGAGTGTCTCAATACTCTTCACGGCTCAGGTCTAATACCATTTGTTGTAGTCAGAATGCTTCTAAACGCAATTCCGACTTTGATACCTTATCTGAATCTTAACCATTCGCTGAAGAAAAAGTCGATAAAGTCTGCAACAACGAGAGCGAGAAACCAGCGACATATCCAAAGGCTGAGAACCGATGTGAGGGCCTTTATCTTCTCGATGATGCCGGTGTTGTATTCCAAGTGAGTCGCTCGCTTTGGCTGTTGTGTGACTGAACTTCTTGACATTATTGATGCTCAGGTAGAGAAGACGCTCTACCGAATACCCCCTTCAAATCTGACAAAGGTGTCACCGGTTTTCCGAGATATGTTGGAAGCGCCCTCCGGCAGCGAAGCGTCAGAGGGCAGTGGCGATAATACGCCTATCTTCCTTGAGTCCATCACCCAGATTGATTGGGAGCGGCTTTTGAAAGTGATCTTACACAAGTGAGCCAACACCTTGCAATCTTATGTATCTAACATCTTCTACTAAGGTCGTATCTTGATCCTCCTCTTAAGTTCAACCTGGACGAGTGGATCTCTGTACTCAAACTGAGCACCCTGTGGAAAATGGATGTTGTTCGAGCTACCGCCATCAAGAGTATTGAAGAATTCGACGACCCAGCGAGAAAAATTCACGTGGCTCGTGAATATGGGATATCATCTTATTATCCTCCTGCACTTTCTCAGTTGGTCTTGCGTCCAAGGTCACTCTCAGTCCAAGATATCGGGTTCCTGGGTCTCGAATGTGGCCTCAAAATCATCTCCATTCGAGAAAGGGTTAATATTAGTCGAAGTCAGACCGGTACGTACGGTACTAAGAGAGATTTTTTCGCTGAGAGAAACCGTTTATATGGATCGTACGAGACGGATAAGATTCACCAAACTGTGCGCAAGGAAATACTTTTAGTGTTCAAAGACCACAAAGAGTTTTTTACGTAGATTATCGTTACTGAAGTTAAAATTTGTACTATGCAAACCATAAAAATAAATTTTCCGGGATCTTGGTCGTTATATCCACATCAACCTTGACCTCCTTTTTGAGTTCGTCTGTCCAGAAGGGGACATATTGTAGATGAAACGACCCTCATTTTTTCGATAGGGCAATGGCTACGTCCGAGTGATCGAACACTGTACATCTGTAATACCTGGGCAGTATACTCACTAGTATACATGGTTCGGAATGATTTATGACGAAGTCAGTCGTTCAAGTCGGCTAGAAGGAATAATACTTGCCGATATTGGAGAGAACATTAGTTTTGTGTGCAGTGAGGTTTTGAATTTTTGAGATACAACTCAAATCAGGAAGCTTGAACAAAAATAGGAGCGGGATTTATTTTATGTATAGTGGACAGTAGTTCGCCCCCCAGGGTCTCTCAACTTCTTCAACCTACGAGCGTGTCCGAGCTCACCAAGCGACTGTGACGAAGTCAGGTTGAAGGCGTTCGAGACTAGTAAAACAAATGGGTGTTGCTATGTGTGGTCCATTGTTCCATGTAAAGGTGAGAGAACAATGAAGGTATCATTATCCTTCTTAGCTCAGTTGGTAGAGCGCGTCACTAGTATCCCAGAAGAGTCGTTTTGCGTTGAATTTCTTATGACGAGGTCAGTCGTTCAAGTCGGCTAGAAGTAATGTAGCTACTGTCCTTAGCTACTGTCCTTTATTTTTTTGGGGGGTCGAGAGAATACTAGTTCTGTGAGTGTATTCAATGACTTTTTGATATCATTCAAATCAGGAAGATTGAAAAAATGGAGGGTGGGCAGGATTTATTTTATGTATATATTAGCTATAGTGGATAGTAGTTCGCCCCCAGACCCATCTCATCCTCTTCGAGTTTTTACCCTTCCCCATTCCCCCAAATTGTCTTGGTAAATTTGTTTAGGCTCCATTGGTTAAACACCATTGTGTACTAATCTCCTTGAGGAATCTTCTATGTACTTTTTTCTACCTTGGTAAGAGTCACTCAGGCTGTTCAGGTCTGACCACAAGCTATAAAGTAGAATAAATGAATACCTAGCTGCAATGAGTCTCGTCGCTTTTGTGGTTTCCGATGCATACTGCGAAGTGAACAATTGAACATCTTCAGTATTTATTATTCCAGAAAGAATTATATCCTTCTTAGCTCAGTTGGTAGAGCGCGTCACTAGTACAAGGCATTGGGCTTCGTCTTACTTATGACGAGGTCAGTCGTTCAAGTCGGCTAGAAGGAATTTTGCTTGTGTTGGGTATGATGATAATTTTTTCAGGATATTTTTCTTCTGACAAGATAAGTCCTGTGAGTTCGAGATACAATTGCATATGGGAACCAGTGGAGGCAATTTACACATCCCTTCGTTGTCTTTCCGAGAAAAATTTTTGCCCCTGGGCAAAAACAGTGCCTGCTGAGTTACAGCGTTCGTCAATCAACCTACAGGTTTTACCCAGCCTCTAGACTCTCGTTGAACTTGCTGATTTTTATATAGCTGCGGTGCCATAAATAACCAATGCAGTACCCAGGTTACAGTTACAGGTCATGTTCTCGTGTTATACTTACGTGGCCGTTGGGGAATCCGAGTTTCTGCCGCCCCAAAGTCGTGAGTATCGATATCCAGCCCTGCGGCCTGATGGCGAGAATTTGAGCGACAAGTTCTATTGGCTGCCTGAATAATGACTTTCCTTTTCGGGCTAACAATCTAACGGTTGTTGCCGGGCCGAAACGGAAGTTTGGTTTAATACACGGGTCAATGTTGGTTGTTTCCTTTGCGCTTGCTCATTCTCCCCACTGTTCCCCTGTCTATCGTTCCTACAGAGACTCAGAGGAAGTTTGCAGTGGCCATGGAAACCTCACAGCGCGACCCTCTTCATACTCGTCCGACTCACAAGCGAAACTCCCATTCTTCCGGCTCCTCATCACGATTAGCGCTCTCGAAACCCCATAGTAATAGTAATACACATTCCCGCAGCTCCAGTCTTCAGCACAGAACTGAAAACCAGCCTTCTTCTTCTTCTTCTCCATCATCTTCAACAGCCACGACATCTACCAAAACTTCATCTCGACTCATGTCCAGCGTGCGTAGGTCACTGTTTGCTTCGTCTCCTGGACACAAGAAACAGTTGGCGACTGTGAGTTTACCCCATTTCCTCTCCTGAATTTATCAGCTCATACGGCAAATTTAGACGCAGACAGCTGGCATGTATTCTACAACTGCAGAACGTGCTGTACAGCATCCGCCGCGGTTCAAGCGACCAGACCCTTCTTCGTCTCCGCCGTCTATCGAACAGATAGCCATGGGTCTTCATATCTCGCGAACTCCTCATCTTCGCTCTTCCTCCGCTCCCAACTATCCATTTACCCAGCGAACACATCCACCCACGCCACTTCCTCCTCCTCCTTCTCGTTCTGCGCTTAAAAAGCCCAGTTCTTCCGCCCCATCCATCGACCCGCCCTCAAATTCCTCTACAACTGTGACTTCCTCTAATTTTCCATACACTCCGCGATCCAACCGCTCTCTTTTCTCTTTCAAGTCGCGTGTGTCACGGCTATTGCCTGGCTCGCAGTATTCTTCGCCATCGCCTCAAACCAGTACATCAGATTTTGTACCTCCGAAAAAGGCGGTTCGGTTTTCCACGTCGACATTAAATCTTGATGAAGAGAAATGAATTTTTATGGTTCTTGACTATCGTTATTGCTCAACTATTAGCTCACACTGGCAGGACAGGGCAGGACTACCCATTGATGCGTTGCACAACTTCAAGTACAGTATTTGTATCTACCACTACACCACTACTATACCATTGTATTTAGCCAAAATAAACTTTTTAAGCCTAGATGTTCCTTTAGCGTGACGTAATTTCCTGCCGAAACTTTTGATCCATTCCTACGACATTCCTTGCTACCTTGGTTTCTTCTTTACTGCACACACATATCTACCAATATTATGGCTCCTGTGGACACAGAGTACTATGATCTCGTATGAACAACCTGTCGCCACATTTTATCTCTTTTGACCCTCAAATTAACAGCTTGGCGTAGCTGTCGATGCAGATGATAACCAGCTCAAAAAGGGTTACCGCAAGGCGGCGATGAAAGTGTGTCTCCAGCTCTCCTATCATTTCTCTACTCAACACGCCCTGGTTCGCAGTATCACCCGGACAAGAACCCTTCCGCAGACGCGGAGGAAAAGTTCAAGGACATTAGGTGGGTCTAACAAAACTATCTCTGTCTATTCTCATTTCCGACTTCATTTCACGATTCTAGTAAAGCGTATCAGGTTCTCTCGGATCCAGTAAGCTTCATTCAAATGCGTGTTTAGGATGCATCCATAAGTTGTATGTTCACCGACAGAACCTGCGCGCAGTTTATGATAAGAATGGCAAAGCCATGGTAACTCGAACCCCTCTCCATACGTCTCGCTCCTTTTGAGTAACCACACATTCTGCAGATGGACAAGGAAGGCGGCCTCACAATGGACGACGCCGCAGGATTTTTCGCGAATGTCTTTGGAGGAGAAAGATTCCACGATTATGTACGCCCCACTGCTGATATCCTCTCTGAATCCTCGAATCATCCTCGGTCGTAGATCGGTGAAATTTCGATCATGAAGGATATGACTGAAGCGGCTAGCAACATGATGACCGATGAAGAAAAGGCCGAAATCGAAAAGCAAATGAACCCGGACAAGGCCTCGACACCTCCAGCCACGGTTTCCAACGGGCAGTCTTCTGCAGCTCATCACGATGAATTCGCCGAATCCTTCACTCCTGCCCCTGCAGACAACGCCACAACAGCGGCGAAGACCCCCTCACGGCCAGAAACTGCCGCGCAGACAAGCGTCGGCTCGTCTCTCGTCATTCACGGAGAAAAGACGGATACGTCACCACCCTCGTCCTCGCACAGCGTGAGTGAGAGAGAACGGTTGGAGAAAGAACGGGAAGCTGCGAGGAAGCGTAAAGCGGAACAAAAGGAAAAGCAGCGTCAACAGGAGAAGGAGAGGCGAAAGGTTATGGAAGCGCGAGTGACGATGCTTACAGCCAAGATGGTTGAGCGATTAAGGCCGTTTGTTGACGCGAAACATCCGGGAGACAAGGATGACCCCGAAACGCTTGCATTTGAGGCGAAAATGAAGCGCGAGGTGGAGGATCTGAAGTTGGAGAGCTTTGGCATAGAGGTATGTCACACTCTTCATTCCTCATCCGTTTGATACTAACGACAGTAGCTCCTTCATACAATCGGTAATGTCTATATGATGAAAGCCACTTCATTTTTCAAGTCGAGAAAGTTTTTGGGAATGTAAGATGCTTCCTTTGCCCCGATTTCCGTTTATCCAACGATCTCGATAGTCCCGGCTTTTTTTCGCGTCTCAAGGAAAAAGGGACCCTCGCGAAGGACGTATGGGGAGTGATTGGTAGCGCGTACGCCCCCCTCTATTCACTCCATTTCCTGTGTACATTGCTGAATCGGTTGCGCTAGGCTGAGCGTCCGAGATACGATGCTGGTAAGTTCGGAACTGTTTCAGCTGTTCCTAAATCTTGATACTGAATGGGCTCCAAACAACCAGGAAATGGAAAAATTACAAGCCAAAGAGGATGTGGATGAAGCGGAACTCAAAACGCTAGAAATGGATGTGACTGGCAAGGTGGGGAGTATCACTTCCCTTATCGAACCCTCTGTTCTAACGGATGGATCATCTTCAGATAATGCTTGCATCGTGGCGCGGTGCTCGGCTGGAAGTCATACAAGTTTTGAGAGAGGTTGTTGAAAATGTACTAAAGGAACCAGGAACTTCCGAGACTGTTCTTCTCAACCGGGCCAAAGTTAGTACAAATTCAACTTCTCATCAACCACCCGTGGGGGTGGCTCAATGAAGTTTCGCTGAATTGATACTTTTTACTTTATGTGATCAGGGTTTGATGCTTATGGGAGCGATCTTCAAATCTGCAGAGCCAGACGAGTCAGACGAAGAGCGGCGTGAATTAGAACGGTACGTTGCCTGCCTACCCTTGTACAAAAAATTTTTTGAGGTTGACATGTGGGGGGTGTTTTTTGTTTGCTTGGCAGAATGGTCGCTGAAGCTGCCAAACCGAAACCGAAACCCGCAAAGGGCAAGGACGCATCTCGACATTCGCATGTAATGGACAAGAAGTCTCCCGCCTCAACTCCCGAGCCAGCCACCACTGCACCGGTCTCCTGACGATCTTGATATCAAACGATGGAAAACAACCACTAAGTACCCCATCTTTTTTCCAGGATCCCCTTAAGGAGCTTTGATTTACTTGCCTGAGAGGCTTGTTCGCCGTAGACACTCATATCATCCCGCGATGCTTTTGTTTTGGTTTCCATCCATAAACTTTAACTTTACATTACTATTCATTCTTCATTTTTTTTATGCGATCCCGATACACTACTAATCCTAGACTTCTGACATCTTTTTCCGTATGCTAATATGTTACCCGGATTGTCCATCTCGGCCTGCTCGATCGATATCGCCCTAGGATTTCACTCGAGATAAGCCCCATACTACTCAAACTTTAAAGGTGAAGTGACCTAGATCAAATAAGTTGTTGTTCACAGACCCGATGCAAAAGCCGCTTTCATCTATCGCAGATCGTATTGAGTTTTTCAACTTTCCTTCGACGGAAAAAAAGGAAATGGGAAGGGAAGACTTACCCCTTGAAAGAGGTATTCATTCTGGAGGATCTGAAGGGAGGTCAACGCCAGACTTCGGGTAGTTATCATATTGGCAGCATGTGCCTCCTTTGTGGCTGAGGCCTTTGTGAACGCTGGAGTATGGTTTCCTCCGTTTGGTTTCGTAGGGATAGCTGACAGGAGACACAGAATCAACATTTAGATGTCCTAGAGAAACGGAAATGGAGGCATTGGCACGTACAATACATCGGGTGCAAGGCGGGCAGATCTGATAAGATATGTGCATCCGAGTTTCTCAGTGTCATGAGTCGTCCGGAGAGAGGTTCAATACGCACAGAAGCCGACGTTACCCTACCCAAGGCAGGCAGATTCAGGTTTCAATGGGGAGGACATATACAATAATGAAAAATCTGTGACAACTTACAAAATCGGTGGAGGCTGATGAACCTTGCTGGGTGACAGAGTGTCCGAAATGTGTCTGAACGACATTCGTAAAAACTTTGGCTGTTGGAAACCGGTGGTCAAACGGATGGAATGATCTTGGCGAACTCCAAAAACTGACCAAGTACTGGGTTTTGCTTCAGT